AAAAAAAATTGACTGAAAAAATACGTTTACATTCTTCAAGGGTAGTATAATAAAGCCCTCCTAAAAAAAATGTCGATTGAGTCAATTATAGTCTCAAAAAAAAAATCTCGAAGTTAGGTATCATTTTCAGGCCTCAGGGATGGTCCAGCCCTTTAAACACAGCTAAATGTGTGCACGACGAATTTACAGCTCGTTCGAACGAAGCAATTTAAATTTGTAGAATGGTTCAAATGCATCATCTCGTACAGACGTCTAAGATAGCATATTGTAATACCTCTGTGTGATCTGTCGTTCGTTAAATCATCGTCTCCTTCTTCCATCGTGAACTTCTCGGAGCTCCAGACCATCGAGGTGACACCAGCTGCCAACTGTACCTCAGACACCATCGCTCCGTGAACATCCATTACTATTAATTGTCCTGCCGTTGTCCCGAAATACACCTGTTGATATCAATGTCAATGTTGTTCGTATCAAACGGAGAAATAATCTCGTCTAATAATTTCAAATGTGAATCGTAGCCGTTGAATATATTGAACTGCACGATAAACGAACGAGAGGTTTTTGCTCGTTCCATGGTTATTTTCTCGGATTATTTTTTCAGCGATGAGCTTTTATGACAATGAACACCTATCGACATAATTGTTAGAGGCGACACGATGAACCTTTTATCACCCTTAAGGAAGTGTTTACTTCGTAATGGAACTATGACAACTATGATGGAGTGTAACACTATGCTATAATAACCTGAGTGCCTTGAGATTTTAAACAAGGTCCTATCGTGTTTTTTTTTTTTGTTTTACGTACGATGTATGATGTATTTTAAAGACGTGGCATTAAACGAGAGTTACAGAAGATGATAAAAGTGTTTCGTGTGTTTTGTCATTCGTTCGACTAATTGATACTTAACAGTTATGTTTTCTTTGCTGTTGAAATGTAAAGTATAATTTGGCTGAATTTTCTAATTGGACTGTATTCAGAAAAATATAATTAGAGATGTATTTCATACGCTATAGTTTATTATACCCTAAGCCATTATTTATAGTAATAAATGGGTAAGATATTCTTGTTAGATTACTATTGCATGTCTGTATTCTCGAATAATTTTGTATTTTAGATTTTGTCTCGAAGATAATTGTCACGCTATGTTGTACGGAAAATAATATTTCACTAGGAATAAAAGAGACGATATTAATCACGAGATCGTTGAAGTTTTCATCTGTGAAACAATTGTTTCTGTAGTACAGGCTTTTGGATATAACTACGTATTCGAAAAATTTTGCTGTAGTTTTCCAAGCTTTGAAGCTGCACTTTGTATAATACTAATTTTATTAAAATTCAGTTACAATAATGGTGATTAAAATATGAAAATTAAATTAAATTGTAACAATAGTTTTATCAAAATTGCTAATTTTTCGTTCATATATACAGGGTGCTCGAACCGTAAAGTACGTGATTCTGCATGACAAAGTAGAATAACATTTTTTCACGAAAGTGTTAGTTTTCGAGAAAATTGAATTTAAAGATAAACTAAAACTTGAATAAAAATCTAGCATAATTTGATTCACCTGCTGATCATCCGGTGTCCAAATGCCACAGGTAATCGTAGCTTTGTCGTTCAACATCGATGACCAATACCTTTGGCCAGCAACACTTCCAACTAACACAAAGCCATCCTATAAAAACAAAAATTCGATACACTTCTCTTTTTCGTATTATAATGAAATGTATTAGAAAATTTAGTATCCATTACAGTCACGATGATCGGTAGATAAAAAACAAATTCCTTGAGAAAATAATTCGGTCACGAAAGGGTTAAATTATTTTAACAACTTCATTGGTTCCATCTTACAGAGAAAATTGCAAGAATATGCAAATTACTTTTAATATGTAAAATGTTATCTTCCATTCGATATAAAATATTTTCAATGAAAAGTTACGAAATTCCAATTAATCAAATGTTTTCAGAATATTTAATGTAACATATATTTGATTAGCTCTTTATAATTGGAACGTCGGAACTTTTAAAACAATTGTCGCAACATACACCGAGCTTAATAATAATATTGCAACATACTCCAGTTTTATCAAGCAACACGTATATACAGTTGAACTTTATATAACTTGTACATTGTATCTGCGCAAATATAGCACGCTTTTCACGGAATGAATAATCATTTCACTCGTCGTACAATCAGCAGAATAATATAATTTCATTCAACTGTTCTCAGCTCGAAATTCAATACTTATCTTGCGACGGCTTCTCAAGCCACTTCTTTCAATACAATTTACAGATTTCTATATATTGTCGTCTTTTTCGATCAAATCCCCTGCCATTTGCCCGTCGACCATTATCACTGATTCGCTGAACTTACTGAATAGCATGGATCATAAGGTCACAGAAGCTTCAGATTTTCAATCGTCCATTTGAAAGTACCGAATATAACGTCGTCCTGAGATCAGGAATTATGCCAGTAGAAGTAAAGCCACGAATTGGACTCGATTCAACTGTCGCGTGAATTTACTTCCGTTTCTTTAGTCTTCGAAAAGAGGTTTATATGCGTTTCATAAATTTCATTCGACAAAGGATCGCGCTTGTTATATATATGTCGTGTGCTGAGATTATTTAAAGGATCTTTTTAGCAATTGCATGGAAAATTTCGGCAATATCGAGGATTGTTTATCACTAATTAATAAATCAAGTTACCTTGTAGCATATGAGAGCCATTCGACCATCGTGAGACCAAGAGAAATGTGTGACCGGAGTGCTTCTGTCATTAATTAACTCTATGCTCCATCTTCCCTCGTATTTGATCCACACGAAGATGACACCTGAACTGTCGCACGAGGCCAATTTTTGGTAAGGTTCGTTCCACTTCACCAGTATCACCTAAAACATAGATTACGTTGTTTTGCACAGTGAGAAAGAAATTCGTGCCACGATGCGTTCATACTCTTCGCCATGTGCCTTGTATTTCGAGTCACTTTTGACAAATTAGAGAAATTTAGAAGGAGACTGGGTTTATGACACAGACGCGTAGCAAGGCTATTTTCGAGAAGTTTAGTTAAAATTTTTGTGTCGTTACTATTCGATTTTCATTACTATTCAAATTTTTAACATTACTATGCGATTTTTAAATTGTACATTTCTCTTCACTCAATGTGCCCCAGGCGAGCCAAAAAATTGGATCTAGAGATTGCTCTATCGACGCAGAAATGCAAAATTTAGAAATACAGAAATACAGAATTTCTGCGTATTAATGCCAACGTATTTTTAAAGGTCATCGAAGGCAATTAGCCGGGCGCCATTTTGCTTTCTCACGATTTACGACAGGTACTTAGACTGCGTGTGGCCAGAGATAGTGTTTATGAGAGGCGACAATCCAGACGACCAACTAGGTCGTAGAAATTGAAGTTAATAAATTGTATTACTCCTTCTTTTTCGCGAAACACTTTGCTTCGTCTTCGCCTTTTCTATCGTGCTAACAAAATGTTCGAAGTTCTGCTTTCAGCCCTTTGACGCTGTAACAACTAAAATCCTTTAATCCAGACGAAGTTCTGGGTCAGTTTGCTAAACGCATCCGGAAATCACCAAGGTCTTGGCCAGCGTAATACGTTATTCATAGTGTACTTTGCCCAAAGCGACTAGCTTCTGATACCGTGTAGTACTACGTACTCTGTCTGGCGAATGCGAGACGTGCCTAGTTTACTTAAACCTAATCCTTTTGGTATTTCCTAGCAAACATTGTGAACGATGTAAAATGAATACTTCTAAAGATTCATAGCGTTTTAAGCTACCTACGTAAAATTTTATTCAAATTAAGAAATATCGAGAACACAGAAACACATTTTCATATTGCAAATGAATTTAGTTTTACAGCGTTCGTGATGTTTTAATCTAGAGATATGTTAATTCTGAATTAACCAATAATAGTTGTTTCAAAAAGACCAAAATGATAAATTGTTGCAGACATTTGGAACGTTCAGGTCAAGGTGTTCGCGCATGGAAATTGCAAAAGGATAAACTCTCTGTGAACGTGAGATTGAAAGAAATGGGGGTAGCTTTGGATCTTCGATATTAAGGCTCTAAAGGCAGATTACGTTGGAGTAGGTAACGTTATAATTAACACGATGGCGCTCTTATAAGTTACATGAACGTGAACGTCATCCGCCAGAAAGCGCAGCATAGATATTTTCCGCAAACAATATATCCGAGCGTGTACTCCGGTTATATTTAGCACCGTGTCATTGCTCCGTCATGAAAGTATGCTACTGCTATCCATCGATCGATAAACGCTGTCCATGCACTAAGTTACATGATTACAATTTTGATACTTTCGATACACATACGTATCCATCGTTTTGCTGGGAGATTAAAAAAACACCCAGAAAATCGTGAAATTTTCAGATATCTGGAAAAAAGTGAGCTATTTCGTCGGTAAATGTTAACGTTCAAGTTGTACCATTTAACGAGAACAATGTGACAATTCAAGATAGGGCTGTTGCAACCCTTTTTCAACAGTAAGCAATCGAAGTCCTCAAAGATCGTTAGCTAAATTCTAAAAGAAAAAATGTTTTTTCATTGCTAAATAGTTGAGTAATTAATAAATTTCTACTGTAAACAATTTTACAAAGATTTTCTGAAAAATTGACATTTTTTTTAAATACTGTTATTTACCAAAGTTTCATCAATATCGGTGATTATCACTTAGGGATGTTCCTTTGCAAGGAATACAGCTGTTACTTGCTACAAATGTACAATAACCAACCTCAGAGACTTCGTTTGTTGTTCAATATTTCATTGTTTTCAATCCCCTCTATATTATTCACACGTGAAAAATGTTTTCAGACAAATGACGCCTCTCGTCCGTTTCTGAACGCTATGATATGCTACCCATCAACACTTCAAACGTCAACTCTTCACGATTCATAACGCTCGTTGTTCGATCAATCACTGTCGTCAAAACCAGCGAAAAAAGGCTGCTACTTACGCAAAAAAAAAAAAAGAAAAGTAATCAACGGTGCACGGGCCGCGTATTCGCGAAGATGTTACAGCCGATAAATCGACATTGTAGATTAATTGCTTTTCACGTGTTTGCGCGATGGATGTTCACCGGTAATCTGACTTGAAACCAACGAAGACAAAGGAAGAGGTAATATGAAAAGTAGGGTTGAAACGCGGAGTCGAGTCAAAAGTAAGAAAGAGGATTACGTTCATGTGCGCATACACGTCGAGTAGGATACTTCGATCATCCTATGTGCATCAATGAAAAGCTCGACGAAATATCGAGACGTAACTATGTACAGTTTATTGATGGCTTTTCGGAATGCTTTTCAGTGCGGAAATTTTCCATCGCAGCATGTTTCGGTAATACGTAAGCTTGACTTTCCTCTTGTATAGTCGACGGAAGAAATATGGCGAGTCGTAAATTAAAACGCTAACCTTCGAACGGCGGTTGCTGGGTCATCGCTGACCCAGCATTTAAGTGTCTCTTGATTTCTCTCCTTATATTGTACAATTTTTTTGTTACTGTAAACATGATATATTTGTATAATTTTAAACAATATAGTGTCTAGAAAAATTTAAAAAAATTTGATTTAGCTTGCGTACGAGGAAGATTTTAGTATTGGGTCTTTAACCCAGCATCCTCCATGCAGTGCAGCAACACTCAGGATCGAATGCAGGATTTTTCGTTTGTCGATTAAGATTGAATCGAAGCTAAAGCATACTTCACGCAGACCTGACTGAAATTTCAGGTCCTTGTCTTGTCAGGTTCCTGTCGATTCGCTTGTCGATACGTTCGAGCATGTAAACTTTGACGTCTGACCGATTTTTCGACGTCCCTATATATATATATATATTTCTTCCATCGATTATACACGTATCAATTACACGGCGCTAGTGAACTCGCTCGCTCGATCTGCTTTCTGTACCATTTTATTAGGCATTCATCCAACAGACTCTCGAATCAACTCTTTATTCCGTTGAGTAGCGATTTAATTGAAAGAAATTTTCCATACAATTTCGACCGAATTTCATTCGTCGTTGTATTAATACACCGGCGGTTACAAAGAAAGAACCTATTTAAATTGATAATTCCTCTGTTTCCATTAAACGAGACCGATTTCAATTTCATTAAGCCTCCAACGGTGCATTAAAATCACTAAGTATAGGTCAGAAATTGTACAGAGTATCGTGTAACTGGTGGTACAAACGAGAAGGTGGTGATTTTATGTGAAAAATTGTATCGAAAATGTGGAATAAAATTTTTTCACGAGATATTCAATTTTCGAGATGATTGAATTTAAATATTCGAGTGCGCGTGTACTCGGCTATCTCACGGTTCCATGCTTGTACGAATAAACGATATCAGTGTCACGATAAGAATTGATAACACGTTTATTAACGATTTCCTTAATTTTAATTTACATTACTGAAGGAATTCTTGAAAGTGATTGTATTTGTGAAATAAACACTGAGTTGTTCGTTATGTTATTTCATATTTTAACACGTCTGCACAGAATTCCGTGTAATATAGTACAACAGCATACTGGGGAGAGATATTCGTATAAATCTCGTTCGATGGGAAACCGATGTTTCTTCAAAGATGGAATCCACGACGTCTTCGGCTATATCGGCTGTTCCGGACGTTTCCCACAATCTCGCATTCTGCACGGTTCCGATGCCACGGGAGAATTCGAGGCAACCATAGGCTTCTTATCGATCAGTGGCCTTTCGCTCTATGTTCATCGTTCCACGATTTTCTCGACATGCTATGTTCCAACAATTTATAACATATTTCACGTCTCTCGTCATTCACCTGATTTTACTATGCGAGTGATTGTCACACGCGTCGATCGTTTTCTAAATTTTTACGACTCGCTGTACCTCTTCCACCGACTACACAGGTAAATGGTATATTAGGTCAGTTATTTTCGTCGAGTGAATCCGTTTCTACGCTGGAAATTTCTTTATTGTATGCAATTCTTGTGAAATCTTTTTTTCTCTATTTCTCTCCTTTTTTTATTTCTCTAAACATTTGTTATTGTGCAACAATAAATTACATTTATTTTGTAAAATTATCTCGATGCTGGAGTCTAATTCCTACGCTATTACTAGTGTTATTTAACGCTTCAATTTACGACCCGGTTATATTTCTTCCATCGACTATACTTCACGATCACCTCACCAGCGAGCAGCAAGCAAAGTAATTCAAGACGTACCTCTATCGATTGGGACAGAGTGAATTTGATAGTAGGAAATTATTTTGCCAACAAACACCGAGTAAATTAGCTCTGTATAATTGAGGATTTCGGAGTAAACAACAGTTGCCTGGCTCTGTGAAAGACGGAATCGAGTTGTATACTGTGCACCTCATCGCACCCTTCGGAAGTCGCGCAGCTTTATGCGGCAAGCGTTCAAGCATCGCACGCGTGAGGCTTACAAGTTGAAGGTTGATTTCCCCTCGATTGCTGCTTGAAAAATGGTCTTCCGCGATCAATATCCCTCTGAACTCTGGAATAGTTCCGTGACGCGACGTGCGTAATGCGTTAACGAAATTAATTATGTCGCTTATTAGGAAAGAATGCGTAATATTTGCTACCCTTCTGTCTGTAAATTTTCCATCTTTTACGTTGGTAAATGTGAATTTCTTCAACGTGAATTCTCTCAGTGTGAACTCCTTCAACGTGAATTCTTTCAATGTGAATTTACGAAAATTGAAGAAGGAAGTGCAACGAAGAAAAGTAAAATTTAATTATTGCCTCCTTTTCAGGACTTATGAATGAAATTATGAATGCAGAATGCCAAAAACTTATTTAGCGGTAGTAAGAAAATATTTGCGCTTCTTACACTAAGAGATTCCAAGCGGAATAATTTTTTTACAAATT